TCAGAACTCTTCCCTTTTGCCAGCATAATCCGCCAAGGTAAGTCATAATGGAAATCACCAAATGGTCAAGGGTCATTTGTAATGACCACCTAGCATCTCCTGGGTCTCTATCCTAACTACACTCTAGATTTTAGGTCACTTACGAAATCATGGGTTTGTTACCATCTTTTAGATTCACTCCTCAGTTCTGAGTATACTGACTGATTTTGTTTCCTAGCTTTTTTAGGATTTTGGCTGGGTTCTGTCTTTGGCCGTTCATGCTCCTGACTTCCTCTCACCTGATTCTGCCCCTCAAACCAAACCCTGACACTAGCCTAATTGGCTGACCCTTTAGCCAACCCCCAGCCCCCAGCAAAGGGGTGGTTTGGATGTTATATTGTTGCAGAACTCTGAATTCATAATTATTTTCCTATTAGAAAAGGCACTCCCAGTTGAATGAAGGTTCTATCTCTTCTCTGGCACTTTCTCTGGGCAATTATAAGGATTTAGAAGTTTTGTCAGTATATGACAGCTACAGTGAGTCCTCATTCCTCCACCCTCGGCTAGACCAACTGGGAAACAATCTTCTGAATGTTCATCTTTAAGGTTAGCTATACACAAGATTAACTTAAAGACGAAGGGACGAGAACATTGCTTGATTTATGCCAAGGGTTGATATATAGTGCACTGAAGGATAAACTTGGCTAGGTAGAGAGAGTGGGGTGAGGTTCCTAATATACGATTGAGGAGCTTGGCTTTAAACTAAAAAGGAAATGTACAAATTTATGTTTTGGTCATAACAAACTATCCATTCACTGGCTGCCTTCCCTCTCAGAATTTTTAGAGATGGGAGAATTCTAAACCAAATATAGAATCCACTTGAGTTTCATGGCTCTAATGTTACAAAAAAAAAATTCACACTTTTAAGTGTCTGATTATACAGCTTTGAAAAAGACCATTTTCTAGTGCAAGAGGTTAGGGCTTTGGATTGAACTCTCATGAGCCCTGGTCAACCAATAATTCTTTCACACCTTAAAACAAGTATTCAGTGACTTGAAGATAAATCAGAACTGCATGCATTACATCCCTCTCCTGCCCTCTCCCATAACCTTCCAATCGGAAAAAGACGAAAATTATAGCCAGGAGGTATTTCCATTTGCCAAGCCCCAAATACTAGCAAGACAGAGTTGCTAAAGACATTTTGTGAAACACCAAATACCATTTGTTCTTGCAGTCTCCAGAGAAGGGATTATTTAAAACTACTCCAGGCACAGAACAATAAAGATGTCTCCAACAATTCGATTATGCTCCATCTATCTCTCGGGCGCCATTCACATCTAGGAGAGCAGAGGTGGGCAGGTACCCAATAAAGGGAGAGGAACATATGAATTCCCCCAATTTCAGTCCCTGCCTGAGCATGCAGCCCTATCTGGGTTCAGAGTTCTGAAAGGTGAAGAGAAGGCCATCTTTGCACAGTCTACTTGGTAAATTCTAAACAACCGATCAACAAATTCAATCTATCATTTTGTAGCAGAGAACCAAGATTTTCACCATTCCCAAGGCTAGACTGTCCCAATTAACATATCCCACTAGTTAATCTTGCTGTGTTTGACATAAAGTGAGTATGACACGCAGAAAAAAAATTCGTGACTACTGTTTTCGTTCAGGATGCTTTAGTTGATAAACTTAAGAATTGCTTAATTTCCTTCCCTCCTATGGCTTTGGTCATGAGTATCAGTGATTTGGCTAATCTGAGATGAGAACACAGATTTGTACTGTCTACTATGAATGGCAGAGTTAAAACTACTCTCTCTGAGTTTAGAATACTTAGCAATATACCGGATGAGACAACAAAAATGGAAGAACCTAGAAATAGGTACATGCAAATGAAAATTACTTCTCAAAATTATCAACTTGGGAAGCAACTCATTTACTTTCTTTATTGCCTTCAGGGAAAGTTCACAAACCAAACTTGAAATGCAGTTCTATCCCATCATAGTTATTCTTTGTTTTTTTGACCCAAAGCAGCATTACTCTGCTTGACTGTTTTCAAAAATAACCCCAACAAGATGAATATTACTGCATTGATAACAATCCACTCAATGTGCTAAAAGCTCTGAAGACAATCCCTAGAGAAAAACTCTGCAACTGTATTGAACAATAGCACCATTATTAGAATGCATCCAACCCCTTCAAAGGTGAATGCTTTCAAGAGGGTAACACTTATTTGACTACAAAGCTCTGATACACTTGCTCACAACTCAGACACAGAACACTTCAGAGTCATACTTCATGGAACTGTTGAGCCGGAATTGACAATATAGTTCAATTGACAAGGTTGGGATAAGGCTTTGATTGAGTAGCCATTGCCTGCCTGTATAGAAGAGGCCTTTAGCTGGACATGTCACCACGATTTCTACCACTTTTTGAGGGCCTTCTTGAAAAGATGAAAATTGTCTTGGCATCATAAGTGTCATACACACTGGGAAAAGTAAAAAAAATATCTAAGGCACTGGAAGATGTTTGTGGATTTGGTCATTAGCACCCACTGGTGTGCTTGGGTCCTGGAAGCTGGCATGGGGACTAAGGGGTCAGAAGTATGGTGGCCAGTTGTTGATATGAGCAACAGAGGCGGAAACAAGACAGAGGATGTTGGAGGTGGCAGGAAGGCTCCCAAAGAAGGGCTGATGGGGTACCAAAGAGCTATGTTTCCTATTGTAAATTGCTTATTTTGGTTAAGCTTCATAATACTCTCAGGAAGGTCAAGCGTCACACAGATTTTTTTTATTCTTTTCTTTAACAGCTCTGAAGGTGATTAGAGATTTGAGACTTTCTCTAACCTCCCAAAACTTTACTATGTAGATTATGTAAATATGGCTCGATATTATAAGAAATATTTCTTTTGAGAATTTCACAATGATCTACAAATGGCCATTCATTTCCCAGCAAATCCTTCTTGCGAGCGGTATAGCCTCAAGTCTGAAAGTACAACCTTCAAAGGAGACCATCAGAATCCTGGCTCTGCTACTTATTATCTGTGTAATTTTGGAAAAGTCATTTAACTTCTCTGTGCCTCATTTGCCTCACCTATAAAATGAGAATAATGGTAAGTAGTTTATATGGGTAAAATGAGATACCACAATCAAGGGGGGAAGAGGTCATGCCAGTTACAGAGTAAATACTCAATAAATGCTAACTTCTACTAATATCTCATTATTTATGGTCATTTTTATGGTCAGAAGTCTGGGCCCAGGAAGGGTAAATCGCTACCCACTCACCATATTGCTGGACAGAATTAAAGATAGTTCTCTTTTATTCCTCTAGTACTGTTTATGAAAAAAATTTGAGACTTACTCCAACGGACTTCCTACATAAAAGTAATGCATGTTGAAAAATATTCTGATATCATGTATGGCCCTTTCCATGATAATCACAATAATAGCCAACTTTATTCTAGACCCCCGCCTGAGAGATACATCACTTACTCTCCAAAAATCCTAGGATGTACATTATCATCCTCATTTACAGGTGAGGAAACTGAGGCTTAGAGAGGCTCACTAATTTGCTGGAGGTCACACAGCTAGAATGTCAGAGTTAGAATTTAAACCCAGATTCACCCACAGCAAAGTGGCTACACAGAATATTAGAAAGTAGTTCCACAATACTGTTTGCTTTTAAACGATCCCCAAATTACCCATGCTAAAAATGGAACTTTGTAATATACACATGACTCTACCCCAAGTCCATTCTTCATAATCTACGATTTAGAAAAACACACTTCGTAAGTGGTTAAGAGCCGAAAGTTTACTTGGGACACAGCTCTTGAATCCTAGTTGAGTCTAGTTTTCTCCTGGCATATATCTAAGGCAAAGGTTAGCTTGGCCACAGTCTGTGGTGCTGGTGGCATTCTTTTCTGGGCAGTAGCCTTACAAACTACTCTAGGAATGTGATTGGAACCAGGCTCTGTGCCGTCATACTGTCCTGACACATTGTTTTGACAGGTAACGTGCTGTCTTTGTGCTTGGACGCTAACGCAGATCTGTCAAGTTACATGCACAAAGCAACATTCAGCCTTCCTGCCTGCCTTCCCTCACTTATTCCAGGAAGAATTTTTCTTTTCAAGTTCCCTGGGGATCGGCACTGATTCACCAGTGTGTGCTCTGGAGACACAGGGCTATCTCTTCATATGATTCCTGTTTGGGGCAGAATAAAACCTCTGCTTTATGTTAACCACAGGATATAAGGTAACCACAGATTTTTTTCTGTTGGTAGTCATGACAATTTCATGCTTTAACACTTAATTCACACATTACCTTCTCCGGCAGCCTTTCCTGATTTCCCCTTGCTTAGTAAATACCCAAGCTTTGTGCTCCATGTCATTATCCTTTCCACTCAGTATTAAAATGATAGTTTTTAAAGCCTGTCGACCTCTCCAGACTGTACTTGCAGACAGAGAACATGTCTTATTTAAGGTGGATACTCACCCGTCATGCACCAGCATGGAATCACAGCAGGATCCATTATGATGGGTTGGGCGTTTAGACATTTCAGTTGGTTGGTGTGGGTGGAGACTTGTCATTAAACACTCTTAAGATCATGTCTGGCCTTATTTCAATACTCAGCACAATCACAACATCATGCATGCGGTAGGTACTCAGGGCATGCATGCCGACTTAATGACAGATTTATTGACTGAACAACTAAACCAGGCATGGGCATATCAGAATGTAACTGACAACCGGACTTGTCACTAAAGGCATGGATTCTAAGTCAACATTCTTAATAAGCAAGAGCCTTTGATCACAACAGACCCCAATGACAGTGATGCTCTACAAGGAAGATGCTCTTGCCTCCAGATGCCTCAAGTGAACCTTCACGAGGTCTTCAGAGGCATCTGTCAGCACCATTGCTGTCTTTGTGGTCTTGATTCTGTCCCAGTGCAAACATAATGGTAACCAAAGCAACAGGACCAAGCTGAATGGTGTCTGGGTACTCTGCGTTGGGAGGAGCACAGCCCTTACCTGTCTGTGTTGTTGGGAGACTTGGTACCCCAGTCCTGTGATGGGCTGATTCTGCATCTTCTGCAGCAGGATCTTTTGCTGAAGTGGTAACGGTGACCTCAGCAAAGGCTGGCTCGAGAGAGGTTGGGTGGGCTGAGCTGCTGGTTGCTGCTGTGGCTGCTGCTGTGGCTGTGGCTGCGGCTGCGGCTGCGGCTGCGGCGGCTGCTGCTGCTGCTGTTGCTGCTGCTGCTGCTGCTGCTGAGCTGAAATCGAGCTCTGCTGCGGCTGCGGCTGCGGCTGGGTATAATGCAGGAGAGGAGGCTTGCTCTGGGGAGGCAAAACGGAAGGCATCTGCTGGTTGGCTTGATCTGAGTTAAAATGAAACAAAGGCTTGGTGCTGCCATGCCGGGGCTCCATGGCTGTGTGGGGGTTGTTCATAAAACTCCGACTAAGATCCTGAGGCTTCTGCTGCAGGAGCACGTCCAGAGGCCCTCCCTGGGCCGAGGGGCTGGCCTTGTACATGTAGTTCGCCATGACCTTGGACTGGCTGCCACCGCCCACGACCCCCGGCATGGGGGAGCTCTGGGGACTGAATGGCTGCTGGCCAAAAGAGGGGCTGGGGATTTTCTCCTGCCCAAATGGACCCGGGGAGGGCCCCGCTGAAGAGGGCAAGCCTGGCCAGCTGGTCGGCTGGTGCTGCTGCATCCGGACGTGCTGCTGACGATTAGCGGCGATCTGTTTGAGCTGCTGGGCGTGGGATACTTCCTGCCAGCTCGGCAGGGCCCGGCTTGCTCCTGAGGCCGTCTGGGGCTGAGCCTGGCTCTGAGGGACTGAAGGGATCGGGGAGGAAGCAGAGAGGGCCGAGGTGGCCATGGAGAACGCAGGGCCGGCGGATGAAGGCCTCAACTGAGGAGAGCCCGAGGGGCCCTGGGTCAGGCCGGGTGAGTATTCACTTTTGATCACTGTCTTCTCCATGGGCAAGGACGGCCGGGGAGTGCTCCTCTGGCTTTGCTGACCCAAGTCGATGTTAAACGGGTCGTCCTGCTTTATGGTGGCGTTGATCATGTTCTCAAGCTCAAGGTCACTCATGGGAGGCACAGATATATTGGTCAGTTCATTGAACAGTTCCTGCAGCTCGGGATCCATCAGCTGCTCTCCGGGGTCATCTCCGTACCTGTTAGAAAAAATATTCTCCTGGGTCACTTGACCATCCACGTGCTTGCTGCAAGAGAGAGTCTCTCCCGGTTCCTTCTTCACTTCCTTTAAGCCCATGTTGAACATACCATTTCCAGGAGAATGTGTATGGGCTGGCAGCGTGGCAGTCTTTCTCAGGGGTGCTTGGCTCATGGGCAAGGTCCCTGACATCATATGACTTTGTCCATTATTTACTTGGAGGCCCCCTTGTCCTGCAGTGAGGTTTTCCCCAACACGGATTCTTTTGATATCAAGGAATGAGTTGTCGACAAAGCCATTAGGCCTCTTGCTGTTGGCAGGGGACAGGTTAACTATCTGTTTTCTTTTCAAGGAACCCTGGAGCTGAAAGACAGAGGGGGAATAAGAAAACAAAACATGAGATATTTTTCAAGATATGCGTTTAGTCGAAAGAGATAGAATATTTGAATGTTTTTTCCATTTACACATAGGAGGAGGCACAAATGAAGCCCAGTTTGGAATACAATGAAACTTACAGTAGCACAAACAGAGCAAAATGTTTCTGGAGGAGCAGGTCAGTGAGGGGTGACAGGTCATAGAGGTTCCCATGATTGGTACGTTGGCCAATGGATGAAGAATCCTTCACATGTCATGGGGAGTTATTGATAATGCTTACGATTAATCACCAAAGTGGTGTTGTTTTCTGGAACAGGCCAAACTATTCCACATGCATGCACACATAACCCACACGGCCACAGGCCACTGGACTGAACACAATTTTGACCAAGATGGGAAACACTGTAAAGTCTAAAGCTTGGACCCAATTTCCAGTTTCTTTTTCACAGATTCAACCCCATCATCACTCTTATCCTCTAAGTAAGTAATCAGAATAGTTGTCGTGTCGAAGGAGGTAGTCTCTCTGTTGTTTAACTATTTTTCTTCCTATGATTCTGCAGCTTTGCATTTAAGACCCTGTAGCAATACTGGGTGGGTGCGCAGAAGCTATGAGGTCATCATTTATCAAATGAGACACTCTAAGCACAGATTTTCCAGGGGATTCATTTTTTATCTGGCCTGTCTCGAAATCTCTTAGCCAAAACCAAGGTGTAGAGAGGCAGTACCGCATAGTGGTTAAGAACTCAGGCTCTGGAACCGGCTAAGCGGAGCTCAAATTCCAATCTGTCACTGAGTGCTAAGTGATCCTGGCTCTGGACTTATCTGAGCCTCAATTTCCTTACCTGGAAAATGGGGACGACAGCACTTAACTCATAGGAAGACATGAGACATGTAAACATTTAGCACAGGGCTTACTGAAGTAAGAACTCAATAAAGTTTAGTTTATAAAAAAATATGGCTTACTACCTTCTGAAAGAGGAGCATCTCTCTAAACAGCAACAGTAACAACAAAATATTAAAGTACTTCAATCACTCACTCAGTGATAAGACTGTATTCTGTTAACTACAGACATTATATAGAGAGATTTAAGGACCATACAGTCACACCACTAAATTAATAAGAAGCATAAAACATGCACCATTGATCTTGAGATCCTTGTTGCTTTGCCTCTAAAGTGAGAGGCTATATCTAGCAAAGGGTGGCTTTCCCAGTGCAGCTGACCCACTTCAATTATTTAATGTTCGCTCAAGATAATTGCAAATTACTGAGGCAGAAGGACACTTCCCAGATATAAAATTCTATCACTTCTCCTGTCCTCCCTTTTCTCTTACCATCACTCCCCCACCCTCCTGAAGATTTCTAGGTAACCTAATTAGAAAATTAAATTAACGTAACTGAGCACCTATTATATGCCAAGTGCTTTAAATATGGTTATTTTATTTTCCTTAGTCTTTACAACAACTCCATTAGATATGCGTTATTTTATAGATAAGGAAACCAAGGCTCAGGGAGGCTAAATAACTTGCCCACTATAAGTGGTAGACCTGGGCTTTAACTCAAGGTCTGCATAGTTCTAAAGTCTGTGTCACTTCTACTATATGATGCTGGAGTCACCTTGTTCAGGGCTAGGGTCTGCCTTGCACGAAGAGGGAGGGGGTAGTGAGCACAGAGATATCCTGGATCTCTCGTCACATGATGAGGAATCAGGGAATGGCGGGGATGCAATCTAGAGCTGAGTGTGAATGGTATGTTTCTTGTCATGTAGTTCCTCAATACCTGTTTCAGTAATCCATTACCTGTGGGTTTGCCCCTTCACAAGTGTGTATAGTTATGGTCGATGTACCATGCTGGTATAACCAATGTTTACCTTTTACCACTGCTAATGGGCAATCAGAAAAAGGAAACTGACCCAAGCTGGGCCAATCATTCCTTCCATGAGAATTCTGAAATCGGAGAAAGTGAGACCAGGCTCTCTTTGGGTAGCTGCACAGTCATTTATAAAACTTGTGAAGTGTTGTTCCATTAAGCCAACCACAGCCATAGAGGAAATAAGTCTGTGGAAAGAGAGGGAATGATGCAGAGAGGAAGGACACAAATTTTGATAGCATTTGAGGGCCTGATTTCAATCTTAGACCAGCTCTGCCTCTCTCGTTGTTTTCCTTGATACACTATGGAATCTTTACAATAAAGTCTCCTTGTTGCTTAAGCTAATGTGAGTTGAGCTTCTGTTACTTTCAACCAAGAGCCCTAACTAAATCCCATGAGATTTAACATTTGGTGATGAGCAGTTTGCAGCAAGGGGTAGGGTACCCTTTGTACCTGGCTGTGAAGCTTTTGTTCCCCTCATCTTTGCTGTCTCTCCATGTTTCCCTGACTCCTAATCTTGTCTATTCACTGATATAGGCCAACATCATCACAGAACACTGTCAGCCATCACTGCATTTGGCACAAACTGAAAGTGGTCACCGTCTGTCCATAGGCGGTCAGGAAGAGCACAGACCAAAGAGGGTCAGCCGTGTTACCTTAAGAGAGGTCACGCTGATTTATTTCAGCATGTTACATTTTGAAGGTTTTTTCCACAACTGGTAAAGAAAAAACAAAGGAAAACATTCTTTTTCCAGGTTTGGGTTATTGCTTTTGATTTATTTTCCACTGCTTTGAAAAAACCTGTTCTGCCAGATTCTCTACTGCTCAGACCACTCCCTGGGCAGTTCAGTACATACTCTGGGAAGCAGCTCCAGGACTTTCTCTAAGCCACCAGGGTTGGAGATGGAGTAATAGAATTAGCGGTGGTGGTAGCAGTAGTAGCAGTAGTAGTAGTAATAATAGTAATAACAACAACAACAAAGTCATTTATTGAGGGCTTGGGTGCTAGCCATCGTGCTAAGCTTTTTGTATGGATAATCGCATCTAATTCTCACAGAACAACTCTAAGAATCCTCACAACAACAACTCTATAAGGTTGATACTATTTCTACCCTCTCCCCTCCCTTTTAGCGATGAGAAAATTGAGGTTGGGAGACTGAGGAACTCTTCAAGGTCACACAAACACTAAGCAATAAAGCCCGGCACCAAACCAAGGATTCCCACTGCTGAGCCTGTGCTGGGGAGTAAATGGTACCCCAGGCCCTGACAGAGATAAATAAATGGTGCCCACACGCAGGTATTGAGGAGGCTAGCCCTGATCTAGTCCTGATTCTGGCATTACTTGCTCTGCTATTTCAGGAAGTTATTTCTCTTCTATGGACCACAGTTCCCTCCTTTATAAATAGGATTATCTCTGAGAACACTTTCCTGCCTGAACCCAGAAAATAATAGACAATGAGGGAGTGAGAATTGTTTTTTAGGCATATGTATCATGGCGTAAAGTCACCACCAAGCATAGCTGGATGGATGACTTAAGGTGGGAAACAGCAGTCCTTCTCAGTGACATATGGAAGACATCCCCATGGTTAAAGAGATTCCATTAGGACTTCATCAGGCATGATATTTACCAAGAGAATTTTGGGGATAGTCTATGTCCTGCCTTGTAGAAGCTTCTAATCAAAGTTATGTCACCAAGTCCCAATGAATGCACAGAAGTAGAGGCACAATACAATCTCAGTGATTCTCAAAGTTCAATCTTTGCTCTGAAGTATTTTCTTTGCTGGACTAAAATGTCTCCACTGGATATATGGCTTTGAAGTGTGGTATAGAGTCTCAAAAATTTCTGTGACAAAATGGAAATACCGTATTCTAGAAGGAAAGAGAGAACACAGAGAGTCATATCATGAATACCTCAGTGAGAAATAGTTTATCAGAAAATTCAATGCTACCTTTACCAGGCCAGGAATCGTCCTAAGGGAATGAGACTCAGTCAGAGGAATGAAGACATGGGTTTACATCAAGAAAGATGGCAGCTGGTTTAGGGAAGTTGGGAGCTCCACAGTGTAGACCTTCCAGGTGGCTGGGGAAGACGGGAGGGGGGCAGGTAGAAGTATAAGGGCAGCATATACCCTGAAAGCCAGAGGGGACAAGCAATTTCCAGAAAGCAGTTAATAACATTGAAAGGGTAGAGGAAAGAAACTCCAGAACAAATCTCTCACCAGGGCTAACTTACCCATTAGGCTGGGTAGGCACAGTGACCAGGGTCTACAGTAGTCTTAGGGGCCCATGAAAATATAATTTAATTTAGTATGGAAGAAAAATTGAAATTTTAGTTTGAGGAAATGTTTTAATATATATATAGTAATATCTTGATGTCAACACAGTCATAAAATATAATTTTAAAAACTTTTATAAGGAAGAAGGGGCCCTCAAAAGCAAGAGGGCCCCCAAAGGCTCTCACCTCAGAACTCCTATGTATTGAATACTTAATTTAAGACAGGTGCTCTTAAAACAAAAGTGGTGTAGAGTCCCATTTAATCTTCTCACAGTTCTCTGAACATGTATCCTGATCTTCATTTTCACGTGAAGAAATTGCAGCTTCTGACTTTAAGATTGCATAGTGCATGATATGGAAGCAGGTTGGCAACCTGGGTCTGGTTCCAAAGGCCTCCTTCTGAATCACTTACTACACTGCTTGCTTTCCTTTGGCCTTCAATTTGCCACATGCCAACACTGTTCTCAACACAGGGGACACAGAGAGCCAAGATAGAAGGATAACAGAATGAAGACATATGGCATGCACAGGGCAAGGGTAAGGGCATTCAGGACTCATAGAGATGGATGGCAGGAGAGGATGGTGACATCATTGGTTGGAGGTTGATGGTGAAAGCTCAGGACATCACTCTCGAGGCTCCAACAGAAGAAAGGGAAGAGACAAAGGGTCACTTGGTCATTCAAAAAGATTTATTGAGCATGCAGAGAGGGTTCTGTCCAATGATCCCTGGCATGTGAGAGAAATGCAGATGGCTAAGCTCGTGGCAGCATGTAAAGGCTTCAAATGAGTGCTACATTTCAATATTTATACTTTTTCTAGATGGACTGAGAGGCACATTTTGTTTTG